ATATATATATATATATATCTTGTAATAAAGGAGCTCACAGTGGTGACCCGATCATAGAATTGGACTTAAATTGAGACCGTCCTTTTTCGCATTCCTGTTGGTTTCTTTTTACATGGATTTGGGCTCTGTAACTTTCGGGTATAATTAACTATGATAATACCGCGATATTGATCATATATGGACTGCAAGAAGATATCGTGATTCCGTTTTTTCGGCGAACTTTGTTCGAACCATTGCTATACAGGGTCTCTTCCAATCATACTTGATTGCAATCTGTTAGTATTTCTAACCAATAACGTTTCCTTTTTTAGCGTACCCCCGCGTGACTTGCTCTACTGGGATCTCGTGTCGCTGTTATCCTTCCTTTCTCGGTCCTCCAATTCACTGATGGGTACCGTCCCCTTGCATCTCCAACCGGGGGCTGCATTCCAATAACAAGCACTTGATTACCCCGATCTGTGATCCCGTGACCGCAATTCACCCGCCGCTGTTCGCTCGTTTGGTATTTTGTATAAATATCCTTCTGTAAGTGTCCCCCTCTCCCAATCAATGTTCTATTTATTTCTGTCAGCACATTCTTTTCTCGAATCCCATGGATAGAAATGTCCGATCCGGAATTCACTTTTTGAAAGGTTGACGGTTGTAGTGCGTCCCATGTTCCATTGGTTCCATCCCCCTTTTTCCTTTCTTTTGCAACCCCTGTGCGACCTACGAGGTCTTACCCTTCGTTACGTTGTTCCACACATTACAACGCAATTTGGCACAATTGTTTATTGATTGAGAGTATGTATTCTTTTGTGGGATACTTCAGCTTTTCTTGCATCAATATATGTTTGGAACTTTTGTGTTGCGTTTGGAAATATTACGCCACAGTATCGTCTGGTCCGATCCCTATGGTTGTTCTCCGTAAACCGCGTTCATTCACTACAAGAGCACACTGGTCCAACTGACGAAAAGTATGGTGGACAGTGGAACATTCTCTGCATCTGGTCAAGTCAAGACGTATCATAGAGTGACGGACCGAGCGACAAACCCGGGGTCGTAAAACAGTAAGATCACACAATGGGATGGTTAGTATTCACTAAATGTACACCGGGTCCCGTGGCAAGTTCTCCGTGTCTGATCACCCATACTCCAACTAAACCACGCCCTAGCCATTGAGAATACTGTAGGGTGAATTTGGTTGTACTCAGAGCGAACGAGCTTCCAGATTTGCCGGGTATTATCAGCACTGATAATCCATCAACCCAACTAGGGATCAAATCTGGGGCTTTGTAGACGCAGTATCCACTTGAACATCTGACCGCTGTGCCTTGTGCTCAACACAGTACAAATGATTTCTACAAGNCTACAAGCCTATTCTCAGTAGCAAGGTCGCATATTTTGCACTGGCCTCCAAGCGATTATTATTCACATTTAACTCACAGTTACTTGTGAGTAGTGGTGTGGGATAATTGCTATTAATTGACTTGACCGGCTATCCTTCGGACTTCACCTTGACGCACAATCCTCAGTTTATCGATTCAACCGAGTGTATGGTTGACTTTTTCATTGGAAATCCCCAAATTTAACCGTCCCAAAGAGAGGTATGAAAACTGGCTTCAAGATATGTTGGTCTCAATGGTCACTACTTTCATCAGCCGATAGAGCGTATTGATTATCCTGAGTATGTGAAATGCATCATCATCATTGTAAAACAAAACAAGGAAGCAAACTGCTTGGATCGCGAGAATTTTCACAAAGGTCGTTGTGTAATATCTCTTCTGCGGTTAATTAGAACACTAGTGACGAACACCGCTGCTGGTTTTTAATGATTTGCTTAGTATGCATGAAGAAACAGTGCGATTTCTCTTCGGCAGAGTGCATGTGACGTAAATCGATCACTTGGTACGAAATGAAGATTCGGTCAGTCCAACCGAGACTATTTCGGAGTTGGGTCTATTTTCAAAGGCGTCTGGTGGAGGCTCGCACTTGAGTAACGGTTAACATACTTAGCCCCCAGAAGTTTACTGTCTGAAACCGGGAGCGATTCGCCGCAGGTACTCTTATGAGTCCACTATCTTGAACAGAATGTGTCCACTGGGTCCATTTGCCAAACTTCACTTAGACACTTGAGTTCAAAATGGCACTTAGGGTCATATCGTGCGCATGGCAAGGGCGTGAAATCCCTCTGGACGTCACCACGTCAGGCATAGATTCTCTCGCTACCCTGTGGATCAGGGTTCGGGTAGTCGAAGGCTCTGGTTGTGAATACCTAGTCCAGCTATCGTAATCAGGCAGTATTGTGTCCACAAACAAGTCATGGCAATTTTTTTATAACAATTAACAAAAGCACAGCCGCAATGTCCTTATTCGACACTGCGTACTTTTTGTCCCCGTCGGAGCCTTCGGGTTTGAATCTGAAATACCTTCATAAGTAAAGTAACCTGATTGCTTGCTTTGTCAGATCGCTCATTGTACCACGGCCTGCTTGATACAGCGCCATCCTGTTCAAACCAAATCCTCTTTTATACTACTTAAGAAACAAGGTTTACTCTAGGTGGCCGCAGTTGATACAGCGATTGTAGGTGGCTAATGTGGAAGAAGACTGTGCCGTACCGGAAAGTACTGTAATTACCGAAATCCTGTACCATTATTCAATGCTATACTCGTTGAGAGTGACACACGGAGCTTGAGTGCTTACACAAAACTTCGTTGGATGAAAGGCAGTCAGCTAGGAATTACATTCACTCGATTATGCACAAACAAGTGGAACATAAGCATGCCCTTCTTGTGAAACGCTTGAATCTTTCAAAATCGACGAGCCAGTTCCCAACTAATCCAGATAGATTCGTCCACAATTTTTCTGATGTACATCTGAATTATTATCCTTGTGGCCGAAGTTGAGCTGGATATGTTCGTGCAATTGCTTCTTCCAGACGTCTTAATAGGTCACTCGTATCGCCTTTAAAGTTGCTAGAATAGTTCTTTCTTTTTCGCCATGATTGGTTCTGGTAGTGTCGGCTTTTCGATGAGGCTGTTCTCGATGAAACGCTCCGAGTATCCATTACTCAGGAGTGTAGATTTGATGGATCTAAGTTCTTCCTCCACTGGATCCTTGGAACAAACCATTCGAGTTCTGTAGGCCAGACATTGAACTGTTTTGTTTAAATTTGATTGGAACGAAACTTTGGAAA